TGTTATTACTAGCGTGGCACCTGTTATTACTAGCGTGGCACCTGTTACTACTAGCGTGGCACCTGTTATTACTAGCGTGGCTCTTGTTACTACTAGCCATTTGATGTTTGCTGGAAAGACACCGTGGCTGCTTGAAGTTAACCACTACATCGCCAGATGTATCGCATTTGCCACGGATTTTCACATGTCGAAGCAAGTCCGGCCTGCACGACTCAGACTTGGATGGCCGTGTGGAGCGCATCTTCGTGGACGGCCGCCGCGAGGCAAGTCGCGTAGCGTCGTCAAAAGAAAACGACAAATATACTAGCAATGGCCTCCAACCTACTATGTTTTCCTACATGTTACATGTGTTTAGTAAGACCCAACACGTCAACACTTTGCCTCAAAGGCCTGTTTGTAATGTCGGAACTTAGCAGACTTTCCCGGCAAGACTTGTCGGCAGACAAGAGGACAAAAACAAAAGTCTTTGTTTTGAAGCATAACAGGGCGGCAAGGGTCAACCTCCAGTCACTGACTCCTTTTGAAAGCATTCCAAAAGAAAAGCAAGTATAAAGAGCATTAAAGAGCTCTAAAGAGCTTAATGTTTAAATGAGAGCCTGCAAAGAAAGCTGTAACAGAAATCCAAAGAACACTTGCTACCGGCCTTCTAAATGTGCTCTTGTAGAGCTTAGATTCGGGGAGCAAATAAAAAGTGCATGCATGGAATTCCACAGCTAAGCCAAGAGTCGGGGCAATCAGAATGCAGTCCTTGCAGAAGCAGTTGTTGACTGTTTTGAATGCCCCCAAAGATAAATTGACCAACACTCAAACGAGATGGCGTCGGAGCACAAAATAAGCTACTTGAAGGTGGTTTCTCACCGCCGCCAGTAGGGGGTGGATAAGGTACTCAAGTCGAGACACCTCATTCAAGTCGACGACCACGAGATTGATCCAATGACTAGAACCAGAATGTTCTTGTTGACCACGTTGCTGTATGCCAAATGGTTCCGTTTTGACGCTTCTCGAAATGTGCGAGTAAGTGCAAGCAAGCCACTGCATTTCTCATTTTCGCAATTCAAGGAATTGTTTTGATTGGCTTGGCTTGTCGAACTTGCGGTGGAAAGCTGTTTTTATCAAACAACTACAGATACATCATGCTCTTTCTAGGGTTGAGTTTCCCTTTTACAGACAGGGACATACGCCGAAAGTTCACGACAGGTGGAATTCTCCAATGGGCTCAAGAAGATCATGTGGCCTGTGTTCCTGCCTTGTGGTTTGTGCGCTTCTTCGACTGAAATTCACAAAGTTTTGGAGCAGGCACATTTTGCGATGACTGTGGTATGAGATCGCAAAGAGGGAGGGAGGGAGAAAGAAAGAAAGAAAGAAGAGAGCATCCGCCCATTCTTTTGAATTTGGAACCCCATGAATGCTCCTAGTAGCGTCGTTGCTACTATGCCGCATGGAAAGGACATGAAAGGAAGTACCCAGTCCCTTGCAGATGCTCATTCCCCGTGTCTCCGCCAGGATGGTCAGACCTCGGTCTTGTTCCAGAATGGAGATCTCAAGGAGATCCGCCCAGACGGTGTGGTAGTGTCTTCACCTCAGGACTCAGCCATCACAGATTCATAATTTATTCATGCCACAATGTATTTTACATAATTGTTCATAGTAACAAGGACGCTACTAGTAACAAAGGGCATCGCTACTAGGAGCAAGGACGCTACTAGGGGCTCCTGGCATCGCTACTAGGAGCAAGGACGCTACTAGTAGCAAGGTGCCTTACTAGTAGACTTAGACCTTTCTTCGTTCTTGTTTTATTCTTTAGACCTTTGGACATACATAGACCTTTCTTCTTGTTTGGACAACCTACGAACCGACGGGGTAGTGACGTCCTAAAGCCGCGGTTGGGATCTAGGACCTACTGGAGTGTTCTTGCAAGTACGCTAGTAGTAACAAGTGCCTTACTACTAGTAACAAGAAGCTATTAGAAACAAGAGCCTTACTAGTAGTAACAAGTGCCTTACTAGTAGTAACAAGTGCCACGCTAGTAGTAACAAGTGCCTTACTAGTAGTAACAAAGTGCCATTTGTGGAGAGTCAATGCCAAGACCGAGTCGACCGGACAAGATTAAAATTCATTGTTGCTTTAGTTCGTCATTTTCCTGTGTTTTTTCCTTCCTTTTTGTTTCCGATTCCCTTTCCTTTTCCTTTCTATTTGTTCAATTTTGGTTTCTTTCAAGAAATCCTTCTTGCGATTGGCAGAACATACAACAAGGCACACTTAGCACCGCGTGTTTATGAGAGCATATGCCAGCAGGTGTGGCAATGAGCCTGCAGTTTTGCGTTTTGGTGGATTTGTTGCTCTTTGGTTTACGTGCGAACCTGTTGGTTTTTTGTCCCCTTGCTTGTAAAGACATGGTTGAAAGTATGGTTGAAGGCTTAGTTGGAAATTCTTGTTGCACAAGATCAAAAGCGCTAAAGCTGTCCGGTTGACAGCTTTGAACGTATCAGTCTTGTCAAGTCATTTGAGGGCCATCACATAGCATGCAGCTGCAAAGGATGTTTCCAATGGCGTGAATCTATGTCTTGGAGGATGTGTAGGCTGTTCATCAAAACCAATGGACACCCACCGCCAAAGTCTGTCAAGAAGAGAGCTAAAAAGGGGTGTTTGCACATCTCCTCCACAGCGCACAAAACACTGTAAAGGCTTAATTAAAGGTAATTGACAAATTGAGCACTTGCAAAAGACAACCTTAGACAAGGACACCACTATGCTCAAACATGAAAAACCACCAAAACATGAGTTTTGCCACGAGCATGCAAATCAATTACTGTAAAGGCTTTCGTGGCACATGCGTGGCCCATGCCACGGGAGCAGTTTGTCATCATTTCACTCAGGTACCACTACCGGGCCACGGGAGCAGTGCAGACGACACTCAACGACGGTACCGAACTCTACCAGCTACTCGGCACAGCTCAGAGCTGGAATTGTCGTGGATCAGCGGAGAGGAAAATAGTAGGAACAATGTTCGCTACTAGGAACAATAGGAACCCAATAGCGGCCTCCAACCTAATAGCAACGGCCTCCAACCGAAGAGCGATGGCCTCCAACCTACAAGCATGGCCCCCTTTTTTTTTCCTTTCGCGCATACTAAGCCCTGCTGGACTTATGGTTCAAACATGTCATGCATTGCCGCATAGGGCTAGTAGTGATAGTCTGGCTGGATTTCATTTCGGCCTTTGGCCGCACCAACCTGACGAAGCTCACTGAACGCCACACTAAGCTCACCATCATGCGCCTTCAACTTCAAGCTCGCGACAAAAGCTGCGAAGGCCTCCGCAATGATGTAGTTAAGGCCAGGAGGGTAGATCTTGGCTCCCGCTGTGCGGAATCTCCCATTGACGCGGCCGGCTAGTCCGACATGGGCCCCTGGCCCATGGTGACAGCGACCGCCATGCCCGCTTGCCATGACGACCTCCCTAAAGACTGGCATTCTCCCCACCAGGAAAGTGGTTGGTTTGGTGCCACAGGCACCAAAGACACACTGGTCGAAACTGGTGGCGCTGACGCACTGGAGCTGCGCCAGCTTCTTGAGCATCTGCGTCCTCCAAATGGCCGGACACGGTGTCCCTTCTAGCCAAATTGGCACTTGCGGGTGCTCGATGAAGAAGCATCCTCCATAGAAAGTCACCATGACTGCCAGTTCGACCGCAGTTCGAAGTAGTCCACTACCGACTACTACTTGCTGGTGCTGCTTCCTGGACAGCCACGGTAATCCCCAGGGCGCTTGGCGATCCCTCAATGGAGGCGGTCCTCCTCCCAACCATCTCGCAGCTGACCACGTTTCGCACGGCGGCCCACCACCTATGCCAAGAACCTGTCCAGCTCGGATGCGATCCTTCCACCACGCCACTTTGGTGGGCGACAAGAGATCTCCTTTGTCTCCCTGCAAGCACAAATCCACGCTTATACAGAAGAGCTCAACTCCTGCGTGCCACTTGTGGCTCTCAATATGGTGGTGCAGGTCTCCTTCTCTCCTAAAGCCAGAGTATAGGTGCACAAACACCACTGTGGTTACTCTAAGCCTGGCATCAAGAACTGATACCGAATGCTCTTGGAACACACCGGCTTCTCCGGCTACAGACCCGCGGACTTGCTGATATACATATCTAGTATCGTTCATGTCTGCTGGGGCTTCTGCTTGCAGAGTGCCGGAGTCTTCCCCAATTCGAGTACCATGAACATTATGCCAGAGCGGGGTCAAGACACCCGCATTTCCACATGTATTACGAATGGCTAAAGCTTCTTCACTGCCTGCAGGCGGCAGGGCTGCATGTGGGATGCGAATGGCCGGTAACAATGCCTTACGTGGGTGCCACCCCAAGGCTTTTTGCTGCGCTGCGAAGTCACGATCTTGCTCATCCAACTTGGCGACCTCTTCTAGGGACAAGGGGGGAAAAACTGCTGCTAGTTTCTCTCGACAATGCCCGGAGTACTGTAGATGGCTAAGAAGCCTCTGTCTAGCATGGTACTCCTTCCCACATGCAAGACAACAACTGCCAGCAGCTAAAAAGCGCACATGCGGTTTGTAGCCATGAACGTGGGAGGAGTGCATAAACAGGCCTCTTTTGGATGCAAACACACTTCCACATAATTCGCAGCGAAAGCACATTACGGGGTCTGCTTTGGGTTTGCCCCCGAAGGTGAGCCCAAAATCTTGCCACTCTTTGGTCATTCTGAGCTCCCATAGTTTGCGCTCTGCATTCCTTTGAGAAGCCCGTAGCGAGGCTGCTGCTGCTCTTTTGATACGGGTGCGCCAATCAGCACATTGGGATATAAATTCCAACCATTGAGCGAAGTCAGCATTGACTGGCGGCCATACACCCGACGGGTGGTGGCGTCGAAGCCATTCACAATCTGCCATGAGGTGCGTCTTCCAAGCATCGGTTTCCCGAAGTAACCTCCACATGAAGGACGGTAGATAGCGAACTGCTCGCGCAGTATAGCGCAGTCTTGCCACCCGAAGTTGTCTGGCTGGGTCTAAAATCCCAACAAGGCCTGCTAAGTCCTCCACAGTGACCTGGTAAAACCCCAGACCCATGAGTGAGGGCCTTGCAATGGACTTGGCCATATCTCGGAAGGCGGCTTGCAGTTTCTGAATCTCACTTTCCTGGTACCATGACCAAACATGCACATTGTATAACATCCTGGACATGACTAGGCTTTGGAAGAGCATCACTTTGTTGCCGTGTGCTATGGTCTTGTTGCTCCACAGATTCTTTAACAAGGGGCCCCAAGCTTTTCTTGCTGACGCAATGCGGTGCTGCAACTCCCTATGCGGGGTGGCATCACCTTGTGCATAGGACCCTAAATGCTTGTAGGCAGAGACAAGACCAACATGCTCAGTGCTATGCTCTAGTACTATCGGGAGCTTCCCAGCGCCCCCAATGAGCAGCTTTTCTTTGAGCTTTCGGGAGCCTGGACCTTTGAGCGCGAGCAGGATCTCGGTCTTTTCTGGTCGCAAGTTCACTGCCATTCCCCTCTTACGGGATTCTGCACACAATATCGATAGGACATCTGTGGCTACCCTAACGACTGTTTGGCAACATGAATGGACGACACTAAATGCCACATCGTCGAAGAAGGAGACATCAACAAAGGCTGGGCAGCTGCCCAGTAACGCCCCTTGCTCTTCCTCGAAATGTAGCAGATCACGATAACCCATTTGGACCATCTGCTGTCGGACCTTGGCCATTATTACCTGCATCACAATATTGAAGCAGACATCTCCTATCGGGTCTCCAGGTCGGGTACCTCGTTGTGTGTGGCCTGCTCCCGACACTCCCTTCACCCGGAAATGCGAGTGCCGAAAGGCATCTTTTGTAAACTCGATAACATCCGGTGTCTGTGAGGAGAGGGCGAAATCCTCAGCAGCTTGGCGCTCCCATTCCCTTAATTCGTCAGGCTGGATCCCGGCTGCTTCCAGGAAATGGCAGAGGGAGACATCAGTAATGGTACTGCCAAAAAGGCCCTGCCTCAACACATGATAAAAGGCTGAACTGAGGTCTAAAAAGACATGAGCACTTGGCATCTGCTTCTGCGTTGCATACGCTAGCATGGCTTGGACCATATGATGGCCATGATCAGTGCTGCGCCCGGGGCGACCTCCGAAACATGAGATTCCTGCCAACCTTTCATATGTCTCACATAAACGGTCACGAAGGAGACTGTGTGAGATTTTAGCAATGGAGTCTGACAGAAAGATCGATCGATAATTGGCCGGATTAGTCATGACGCCTTTCTTGTATAAAGGTACAGCAAGGCCAGATTTCCATTGCAAAGGTTCACGCCCTGCGCATTTAACCTTGACCATCAGCTCATGCATGATCCGAGCCATTGGCTCGCCCCCTGCTTTTAGCACTTCATTCGGGAGACCGTCACTGCCTGTTGCTTTGCCATTCCGCAACTTACGCAGCTTACGCTGCACATCTGCAAACGTCGGCAGCTGAGAGACTGACAAGGCAACCCTCGAACCTTCAACTTCCTGATGGGAATCTTGCAACTGCTTGTCACTAACGCGCACAGCTGCTTCAATCTGCGCGAACTGTTCGAACCAAATGTGTTGTTGCTCTTCAAAGGATGCAGCTGGCCTGCCGTCTTCCCGAAGAATTTTCGGCAGGATCCTAGAAACACCTGACTTTTGCTTCTTCTTACCCAGCATGGCCAACAGACGCGACACCTCCTTAAAATCATGAGCCAGTCCAGCCTGGTTTAGGTCTGCGATGGCTTGGTTAAAGAATGCCCGCCTATCACTGCGACACGCATCCCTGACTTGCTTCTCTGCCTCTTTCAAAGCTTCCTTAAGAGAGGCTCTCCATGTAACATCTTGCGACCTTCGGAATTCATCTAGCAAGTATCTTTTCTAAGCAATACAGATCCGGGTATCGACAGACATCCACACTGGTTTGCTGACAGTTTTCTCCGGAACGAAGATGGCCTCAGCTAAATTTTTGACTTGATGGCGATGCCATGCTGCGTGTTCATCGACGTCGAGCGACCAACTAGGAATTGCCAAATCACTCAGAGCTTTCTGGAACTGCTCGACTTTGCACGGGTCCACACAGGCTCTGCGGTCAATGCGCATTGGTACGTGTTCTCCCGCAGCAATGAGTCCTTTGAGCTCGAGTACCACTGGGACGTGGTCGTCATGCGTGAACCCTCCGTCAAAGCTTAACCATACATACGATTTGTGAGCCATAGCAAGCAAGTCTTTGTGCACACAAATGTGATCGATGCGTTTCCATGCACCGGATGGGTGACGCCAAGTACCATGAGGCCCCTGATGGATGTTAGCAAACGTTGCTGGACAAGCCAGCTGGGCGGAATGCAGAAGCATCTCACAGTGCGGCGTGGCTGGTCCCGGCTTCTGTGCACCCCAGTCACTAACAAGTTCTGAAGTATTCACTCCTAAAGTAGCATTGCAGTCAAGGAATGCAATGATTTTAGCATGCTGTGGCACCTGATTGCAGACTGTTGCTAAGGACTTCCACCAATCAACAACTCTTTCATGTGTGTCAGCACTACCCCAATATGGTGCATGTCCGGACAGGAAAACCCAACAACCCAGGGGGTTGTCCAGTCTGACAACTAGTAACCGCGGGTCTTGATGCAACACTACCACATTACTATGCTGAAAACTAATGTCAGCCTCTCTTGTCCATGATTTGGTACGGTGAAACCAAATCTCACATCCGTACTGCTGAGCTGCTGCTGGGACTGCAGACCCTGCACTAAAGATCTTGTAGTGCTCAGTGAAAGACACACCCTCATCAGTGCGAGCTTCTTGAAACCCAGCGACATGGATACCGTTGGCATGCATCTGGTGATCCATGCGGGCTGACTTAGCTCCCCCGCGACGTCCCCACTGGTCAAAGGTGGAGTCATCTACCAAAGACAGGAC